TATAGTGTGATATCTAGGTGAAAGAGTCTCTATGTGCTGAGAATTAACTGATTTCTGTGACGTGAGGCGGCTAGCAGACGGTTGGTTTAGCCAGTCTGTCTGCTTCCTGACCTGGGCCCCAGTTAGTCTAGTACAAACTCTAAGACTACGTGCCATATTTCTAGAGAGAAGAGCGGCACCACCCCAGGAGGGATGAAGACCATCTCTTTTCAACAGGTCAGGTCTGCCCCAAAAACTCATCCAATTATCTATGAAACCTATGTTATTCTGCGGGCACCACTTAGACCTCCAGCCCTTGAGTGACGACAGTCTGCTATGTATCTCGTCACCACGGTAAGCAGGGAGGGGACCAGAGCATATTACAGTGTCTGACATCGTGCTTGCAAGTTCACACCTCTTTAATGTTATATTTAGTGATCTCCGACTGGCGAAGTCGAACATCATTAGCGCCGGCGTGAATAACAATCTTACTATATTTATGTTTAGCATTAGCCAGCACTTTTAAATTTGCCAAGATTTCAGGCTCTCTGGCTCCCAGTAAACATTGGACTATGGTGGCTGGTGTCTATTTTCACGTTCCGTACAATAGAACCACCAATAACTAGAGCATTTTGATCAGGTTTCTCAGTGTGTGCGTCACTGAGCGAGGAGAACCTGTTAAATTTTTTTATCGGAACGGAAGAGCGGTGTTTTGACCCGCGACAATGCTGCCTCACAGTCACCCAGTCGCCCTGCTGCAGTGGCATTGTAACCGGAACCGAACAATGTACAGGACTCCCTGAGCTAGTTGCACCCAAAGCCGTTTCTAGAGCCCTCACATTCTTACTGTCCTCAATTACAGTTTGGATGTGTGTCTCTAATTCTGAAATCTTCTGTCAGCCTAACTATTTCCCTGCATTTATCACATGTGAATCCCTCGTCACCGACAGAGAGAGAAAAACTATACATGTGGCAAGCGGTGCAACAATAGTAGGACAAGAAGCCATTACTCACCATGATTGATGAATGATTCTTACTTACCACAGTTGTTTGACAAAAAAACGGAGCGAGAGAGAGAAAAAAAACAGCAATAGGCACCCTGATCTTCCTAATGTTGTATAAAGCAAATCTGCAGGACCGGGCAGTTTTAGCAATGTGGTCTGAGAAATTCAGCTTATCATCAATCACAACTCCAAGGTTTCTAGCTGTTTTTGAAGGAGTTATGGTTGATGAGCCTAACTGGATGGTGAAATTTTGATAAAGTGATGGGTTTGTTGAAACCACAAGCAGTTCTGTCTTAGCCAGGTTGAGTTGAAGGTGATGGTCCGTCATCCAACAAGAAATGTCTGTTAGACATGCTGAGATGCGAGCAGCTGTTGTCGGGTCGTCAGGATGGAATGAGAGGTAGAGTTGAGTGTCATCAGCATAGCAGTGATATGAAAAGCCATATTTCTGAATGACAGAACCTAGTGATACCATGTAGACAGAGAAGAGAAGTGGTCCAAGTACTGAGCCCTGAGGCACCCCAGTAGCTAGATGTTGCGACTTGGACACCTCGCCTTTCTAAGATGCCTTGAAGGACCTATCTGAGAGGTAAGACTCAAACCACTGGCGTGCGGTTCCTGAGATGCCATTTTCCAATAGGGTTGACAGGAGAATCTGGTGGTTCACCGTATCAAAAGTAGCAGACAGATCCAGCAAAATAAGTATAGAAGATTTGGAAGCCGCTCTTGCCAGTCTTAGGGCTTCAACAACTGAAAGCAAGGCAGTCTCGGTTGAATGTCCACTTCTGAAGCCAGATTGACTGCTGTCCAGGAGGTTGTTCTGTGTGAGAAATGCTGAGACTTGGTTGAACACAACTCGTTCAAGTGTTTTTGCAATGAAAGGTAAAAGGGAAACCGGTCTGTAGTTCTCTAAAAGAGTTGGGTTAAGAGTGGGTTTCTTAAGAAGTGGGGTTATACGAGCCTGTTTAAATGTTGAGGGAAAAACACCAGTGTGAAGGGATGTGTTAACAATGTGAGTGAGTGCAGGTACAACGGCAGGAGAAATGGCTTGAA